TACAGCATGCGATTCTGCCCCTACGCGCAGAGGACGCGCCTGGTTCTCCGCGCCAAGGGCATCAGGTGAGGTTCGCTCGGCCCTTCGCACTGCCCCGGTACCGCTCCCCGGCCCGCCGGGCTCGGGCGGCGGCTCCTGATTAAACATCCCTCAAAGAACTGATTGAAAACAGGTTTACGGGAGTGATTTTCCTTTAAACCTTGAACTGCTCTTTGGGAGGTGTGTCTTGCTGTGTGTGAACCGAACTACATAAAGGCCCAAAGTGAAAGGCCCCTAGTGAAAAACCCCAAGCTGATTTTTTTTTCTTCTTGCTTGTCATCTTGAATGTTTACATTGGAGCTTGTCCTGAGTAAACGTGAGTAGAGCTGTAACATGCGCTTTTGTTTGCGTTTGATGTGAGTGGCAGTGAAAATTCTGGGAGCTGCAAATGTTCAGTGTTTCTGTTGTATTACTGCCCAGCAAAACACTATAGTGAGCGAATGGCCTTGTTAAAAGAGGAAATGTGCTTTGGTCCTATAATATCACCTCATTCCTGTGCTGTAGTACGTTAATGGAACTCAGTCCTTGAGTGTGTTTCTTTTTCAAGATAACCCTGTCATTTTACCATTCTTAAATGGGCTCCAGTGCTTCCCTCAGTTTACAACTTCAAAGTAACAGGTTTTTCCATGCTTTCCTGATTCCACCAAGTCTTAGGCCTGCCAACAGTTTGTTAACCAGCACGGGACAGGAGTTCATGTTAGCAGGGGAATGCTTACCACTCAGTTCTCCTGATAGCAAGGTGAGGGTAGGGTTGGTTCATTTTGGCTTTGTTGGTTTGTTTTGGTTTTTCATGGGTCTTTTTTTTTAAAGAGTAGGTGCAGTAAAGCTTCCAGGTCAGTTTAATTCTGTCTTTATTTAGTGTCTTTGGACTGATCTTGGAGCTGGGAGGTCTGTTGTAGCATAGTGGTTTTGGAGGGGTCTTATAGCTACCAGTTGCCTTCTGGTAACCTTTCAGTTGTTTAGAATGTTGAGCTGTGTTTAACAGACCTTTGGCTGTACTAGGAATTTTCTGGGGTCGCACATATAAAACAGCATATAACTTATGGTTTGTTAATATAGGCATATTTCCCACGTATCTTTTTTTATCAATACCTATTTGCCTTTACCCTAAACAGATGTTCTACATGAGGCCATAGGTTGGGAAGATAAGTAGGTAGGATGCTCTCCTGATTTGCTCTTTGGTGTAAGGGCAGGTCAAAGTTCAGTGGGGTGTAGCTAATTTGCAATCAAGTGCTTCTTTCTTAGAATGCCCTTGAGCCCACATGTGGTAAGTGTGCTGCCTTCTGAACTTGACCTTTGTTTTTAGCAAGACAGTAAGAGCTGCCTTTGTTGTGTGCTTGCAGACTGTACATGTGTCTTTTATTAGGTTAACAAACAACCCATTGTAAGTCAATGCTGACTTTGTCCAGCAAAGGAAAGTGCCCCTAGCAGTATTTCTTTGTCAAACAATTAGTCCTGCAAAAGACTTGAGGGAAAACAAGGGAGTGCAGGGGAATGAGGATTCAGCCTCTCAAGTACTGAACTCTTGAGGTGTAATGACTGTATTTCACCATAGTATGGAGTAGACTAGCAGACCTGAGCCTCTCTGGGTCTTGTTTCTTGTGCTCTTTTAGCCATGAAGTAGTCAACATCAACCTGAAGAACAAACCTGACTGGTTCTTTGAGAAGAACCCCTTTGGGCTTGTTCCTGTTCTGGAGACCAGCAAGGGCCAGCTGATCTGTGAGTCCCCAATCACGTGTGAATATTTGGATGAAGCGTTTCCGGGGAAGAAGCTGATGCCTTCAGACCCGTATGAGCGAGCCCTTCAGAGGATGCTCTTGGAAAGCTTCTCAAAGGTACTGTGCAGTCAGCGTGGGGTTGTGTTTCTTCTGTTACCATAGCACCAAAAACTACAGCTCTGTTGCTAATGCTGCTTTCATCCTTCAAGGCAGGTCTTATGTCTGGGAAAAGCATTTAAATAACCAGAGGGAGTATATGAGGTCTTTTGCTGTGAGCACATACAGACCACTGTCTCTCTGAATTGCTCCCAGCACTTATGTGTGGGGATGGATGCAGGAAGACACCCAAGCTAGTGAAAGTTTATATGACTGAGGTAGGATTTTGGGCATCCTACAGCAGAGCAAAGGGTAGTAAGACCAAACCTGAACACTTGAGACCTAGGCAGTGACAACTGCTGTATTTTAATCCGAGTCTTTCTGTAGGAAGTACGGAGTGAATGCAGAGGAGTGACTGGCCAAGAGAGCCTACAGCCATGGATAAGTGGTGGCAGGTGGCTGTAGGCTTGGGACATGTATAAGGAGGCTGGTTTTGGCTCTCATTTGGGGTTGGAGGTGGGTGACTGGAATTGACCTCTCTGTACAAGCACGTGCTGTGAAGAGTCTAGGAAGTGAAAGATGTCAGCTTGGATATGAGACAGGAGAGGAGGGGAAGCAGCAGAAGATGCAAAGAGATGTGGACAATGATGGGGTATAGAAGGAAGGATATATTTGCAGCAGGCCTTTCTGAACAGACCTGATGGGAAGAGAGTTACAGGAAAGCATATTGTAAGAAAAAAAATGTGCAGATAGGAAACATGCCCTTCTTTTCACTAATCTCCTTGTTTTACAAGACTAAAATTCATTACTATTTGTATTCTTTCTTCTTCTAAGCCTTTGCTTGCCTCTTGAAGTATAAAATATTTATTAATGGACTTTATTTAACTCTTTAAAGTAAAATATTTAAGCATTTACTTCCATATAATATCTTAAGATCTAAGTTAATGTTTTAAGTTCTGATTGACTTGCTTGTATTGTTGTAATGCAAACCTTAAAAACTTTATACTTTGCTTTGTGTAGATAACATCCTTAGTTTTCAAGCATGTTGTGGCAGTTAAAGATGGACAGGACACCACAGAACTGAAAGCAGAGATTACTGAAAAGTTTGGCAAATTTGAAGAGGTAAGAGTATTTCATGATAATGAGCAGGTTGCCAGTCTTTGTATGATCCCATTTTTCCTTCCATGCTCTGGCCTTTGGAGGTGGATCTCTTCTCATTTAGTTAGTAGTTTCAACAGTGAGCAATCTTTCAATTTACTACCCCTAGCCTAAGGTGCACAACAACACCATTAGAGTAAATTTCAAGTAGCTAAACTAAACTTCTCCTGATGATGAATACTGGGTGGACTTGTGGAGATTTTTGAATTCTAGCTGGCTGCTGTTGTCTTGGATGTCTTTGTTCTGCTTTAAATGTAAGGAGACCTTGCAAGAGTGAGGGCTGAGGAATCTGAGCTGCTGAAGAGCATCTGTGCTGTAGCTCTGCTGAAATCACTGCAGATACCCTAGTGGTCATATAAAATCTTTTTCATTCCAGACCTTATCTTTGTTGGGGGTGGGGTGAAGCAGAATGTAATCTGTGCCTTGTAGGAATCCAGGCCTCAACCACCTTCTGCTACTGGTGGTGTAATGCAACTTCAGTTGAGCTCCAGAAAGTGTCAGTTGGCTTTGATGTTCTATTGATCACTTGACAATTCATGTCAGTAGTGGTTCTTGGCTAGTCTGAGCAACTGTTGGACTTAGCTTTGCCATGAACCCATTCCTTCTGTGCCTTTTGCAGCCACAGCTAATGCTTGTCTGGATCAATTAAGAGCAGTTCTTCCAGAGTATTTCTCTTCTGGTGAAAGCTACCAATAACATTTTACTACTTTCCTAGTTCTCCTGACAGTCCTGTACATTCTGCTTTCTCACACTCTTGAGCTGCCAAAATACAGTTGTTTTCAGGGAAGTCTTGTCTCTGATCAGGCTGAGGCTGGAGTAGTGCAGATGACAGATGAATTCTTGGGGGAAGCCACGTGTATTTCAGTTCCCTGAAAAACAGATCTATTAAACATTAAGGAAAAATTAACCTCCTTCCTTCTTGATTAATGCTGTGAAATACTTGTTGTTCCTTCAGTGTCTCTGTTTTACTATAACCTGAAGGATTTTGCAGCAGCAGCTGACAGTCAGCTGAGGATGGGAGGCATGCAAACTTCCCTCGGCCTATTGCAAGAGGTATTCAGAGGGGAAGCGTTTTGAAACGCTTGTGTATTTTGATTGCTGCTGCCCAGCTGAGGGAGCTGTGTTCCTGTCTCTGCAACTGTGCAGCAGCTGGTCGTGTTCTGCCAGACACCTGGGAACTCAAACAGCTCACTGCTTCCTGAAAGGCTGCTTTAAAATTTCTGCTAGATCATGGGGGTTAGGGGACAGAGAATAAATGCCACAGGAATATAGTATAGTGGTGTGTGTCCAAGTAGACCAAGATTTGTAAGGTCTCGTGAATTCTACCTTTAAAACATTAAACTGCCTGAAAACAGAGGGAGTAGTCTAATGAAAGAAGGCACCAAGTCCTGGAGGGTCCTTAAAGCCTGTTAAACTTGGATGACCATGGCACATGAAGTGTATTAAGAATCGTAAATGTAACAGGAGAACTCGTGGCATTCTTTGTGGCCCTACTTTCTGTGCAGAGCTGTGAGGATCTCTTTCTGGTGTAAGTTACACTTGATTCCTGTTGCCTTTGCACCTGGAATCAAATGAAGTTGAGATGTAGCATTAGAAATGCTTCCCTGACACTACTTGGCCTCAACTGCCATGGGAAAAGAGTCCCTGTTAAGGTGGTTCTCTAATTTACCTGGATGTTAAATTTAGCTTGATTTAATGCTCAAGAAATGCATATGTGTTATGTTTGATTAGTCTGTGCCATTAATGCTTTTGGACAAGTAAGAAATCACAAACTGGCTGATTCTAAGTGCTAAATTCCTCTTTGTGGACATGCTGCAGCTTGCTAATTCGTATTTTGTGACACTTTTTGAACTTCTGGAGAAAAGCTGGAATGACAGTTTATGAATTAGCAGCTGTAGTATTACACTTAGCTATACTGACTAGCTCTGACTCCACTGATATTACATCCACAAGATAAATGTACTGTATCTCCTTCATTTGCTGTCTGATTTGTGCATTCCACTATGAATTGGGCTTTTTGGTACTGTAGTGTTCAGTTGTACGTTTCCTTCTGGGAGCAATTGACTTCTCTCACCCCTCACAGATTCTGTCGAAACGCAACACTGTGTTTTATGGTGGGAACTCAATCTCCATGCTTGACTACATGATCTGGCCATGGTTTGAACGTCTGGAACCATTCCAGGTGAAAGAGTGAGTATCTTGTTTGACTTCTAGTGTGTATTGAAGTGTCTCAGCATAAATATTCTTTGCATATGCTGCAGCAATGGGCCACTCTTGAAGGCTGCTGAAGAAAGCTTGTATCATGTTGCAGTTTGGGGGAAGTGTCTTATCAAAAGAGAGATGAGTTGTTCAAGGATCTTCTGTAAACAAGCTTTCTTTCACCAGGTCTGTTTTCTTACCAAATGATTTTGGCAGACCTGGAAGAAATAGTTGAAATACAGGACTTTACCTCCATCTTTAATATCATAGATGAAAATGGTCTTTTATTTGAAGGGGATGGAGTTAGGGCAGCCTAGGTTCAAATTTCTTGATCCAAAACCTCAGCCTTTTAATGCAATCTTCTGCTCCTCTTTGGAAACACTAGTTTGACACAGGAAAGTGATTTTGTTTTCAGATAGGTAAATTGTATCCTACCTTGTTATAGCTTATAGATCTGTCTCCATTGTAATAGCATTTTTTGAATACGTAAATAAATGTCTTGGTCTGTTTTATCCTTAAAATAGCTCCAGTTACCATGGCATTGCATTAACATGCAGGAAAATGCTGTCAAAATAAAACTATTTTATAGCTGGCTTAAAACGGGACCAAAAAGTCAGCTTGTATGAAGTGCGTGATGAAAGCTACAGATGTATAGAGCAGTTAGTCTCCTCCTGGTGCCTGAACCATTCTTGTAGAACAAGAAAGATGCAGGGAATCCTTAGCGATGAAACTTCTGGCACTGTAAAATGGGGGCTTCCCTGATGGTTTGCTGACCTAGTTTGTCTCCTGTGTGGTCTTTGATTGGAAGGGGAAATATTTCAAGCAGTACAGCAGGATAGGTCTAGAGTCATTAAGGTATTTGAATGACAGAGGGTCTGAGCCATTTTATGTTAATAAAAGATGCTTCTGGGTGAGGGTGAGGAGTTACCTGGAGAAGCTATGTATTAATTAACTTGGGAGTTAGAAATTGTAATGTAAGGTACTTGTGTCAATCTGCCAGAGAATGAAGACAACAATTTACCCTGTTTAAGCTTTCAACTGGCCACATGGTTGGGTTTTTTTGTTGGGGTTTTTTTGCAAATGTCTGTGGGTTTGTGGATTTAGTCTGTTAGTTGAATCCTCAGTTTTCCCAATAGACTGTGCTCGGTTGCAGAGTTGTGCAAACTGCACAGCTTGTCTTGGTATGCAAGAGGGAGAAGAGGTTCTTGACTTGTAGATGAGGACTCAACCACTGCACGCAGCATTTGCTTCAAGAGGCACTATGAACAAACCGTTCCAGAGGGAGGCAGTGGAGCACAAGCCTCTGCCCTCACCTCACAGCAGATGATAAATTAGAGCTGTGCTGTTTGCAGCAGGGATAAGATAAGCAAAACCATGCTGATATCTTGCACAATAACTGTTTGGTTGTGTTTTTGCTCAGCTTTGCTGAGTGCACAGGCTCTGTAAGAACTCTTTCACTTTCCAAATGCTAGTTTGTCTTCTGTGATCTGGTGTGTATTTTCATCACCTGCTCTGAGCTGAACATTATACTGGGAGGGAGAAAGTAGTAAAATGGAACTGTGAAAACTGTTTTGCTTCCTTGATGCCCTCCAAGTTTTCCATTTGCGTTACTCAGTCTCTTCCCTTTTCCTGTAGTGCTTTGAATCATGCCCCAAAGCTCCAACGCTGGATGAAGGCCATGAAGGAGGACCCAGCTGTCAAGGCTACAATGACTGACCCACAGATATACAAAAACTATCTCCAGCTCTATTTGGTGAACAGCCCTGAGGCATGTGATTATGGGCTCTGAGGTGCCAGTGGGCACATGCTTGCTGAAGTGTCAGTGCTGCTTTTCAGTGTGGGGAGCTGGTGTAATTTGGTATGGGCTCTTCTGTGGTTGCATTTCATAATGGGGAATAAATCTGTACTGAAAAGGCTGAGAAACTTTCTGTGAACTCCACTCCTTCCTGGAGAAGGATGTCCTGGCTTCAGGCAGGAGATGGAAAGTCCTTGCTGGCCATGTATATCACGTAAAGGAAAAGGTTGTCTTTACTCAGAGGTGATGGTCTGTTATCTCTGGCCTCTTTGTGGGCATTGCTGGTGGGCAGTCCTTGAACTGATGTTGTTACCTGATTTAAGAATTGTAATACTGGTATCTTGAAAATGAATAAAAAGCAAACGATGTTGTCTTTAATGGTTTTTCCTTCCTCTTTCTGGGCAGCTATTAGTCACTCGACTGGTTATACAGAGGGAGAGGAGGAGTGCACTGCAAAGGCTAAAACAGTGTGGCTTGTGAAGATGTGGTTATTAGTACAAACTGTCCTTCTCTTTAGACATTACTACTGCCAAACCACTGACCTTGCAGCCCTATCCACTTACCTCTGCTGACATCACATTTGCAGACACCATCTAGTAAGGGCTTTCAGTTTGGGCTAGATACTAGATACCATATGCTAGGGGGAGAGCATGTGGTTATAATCCATTTTTGTCCTTCTGAAGTAGGGTTGTGTTTATTCTAGGTTCTAACCTAAGGGCTGGAGTAGAGAGTAAAGCCAATAGAAACCATATTCTGAGTAGGACATTTATTTTCTGTTCTGTTGCAGAACTTTAAGCATTGCTGTACTCACCAAGGTACAGGTGAAATCAAAGAATGGAAGTAGGAGTTCAAAGCATTACGTACTGGTGGTGTTTTGCTGCTGATGAAGGAATGAATGATTATGTTCTGTTTCATCTGGTGAATGGCAGGATCAGAGCTTTTCAGTTGAACATCTTTTGAAGCTATCCTATATGCTAATATAGCAGATTGGGGACAAGATTGAATCACAAGTAGTCACAAGAAAAACTTCTTCCTTTCCTTGTTTTTCTTTTGTCTCCTCTCCACATAGGGGATTAAAAGAACTATGAGCCATTCAGGTGTTGCTCAGCTGTGTATGTACATTTCTGTCAGACCACTAGCAAGACAAACTAACCAAAATTCCAGGGAATAAACAAGTAAGAAATAAGGCAAAGCAATATGTTCAAGGACAGGGCTGTGGTGCTGAGGTTGTTGTCATGAGATACCCAAGACTGTTCCTATCTGTCTCCCATTGCAGTGAGGTAAGGTAGCATAGTAGGTGATGGTGGTTCAGGAGTTTCATGATAATTGAGGCACTGAGGGTCTTGAAGCTTTTCTGGAGGAAAAGTGGGCTAGTCTTTCTTTACTGTTAACATGTTCTACCCTGGCACACTAACTCTGAGGAGGTGCATGTTTGTGTAACTTCAAGTAGGAAAGCAAATATGAAAGACAGATTTGATGAGGAAAAAGAATTAGCAGGAAGTTAGTCTGTCAGCCTGTGGCTATTGCAGAGGCTTGTTTATGCTCTTACTAGCTTTAATTCAAACTATGCAGCTTTTCCCCTCCTGTTTATCTTGATGGCTTTTAAGCACATCTGGCACTACTTAGAGAAATAATTATTACTCTGCTGTTCCTTCCAGAATACTGATGTCTTTTAAAACATTTCCCAGTCGGGATGTGATGCTATATATGTTCTGTAGATTGTTATTAGAGAACCTGGAAGAAGCATAAAGCTGTGAGGTGTGTTGTCAGGATGTGGATCTAGACCCTTTCATTAGATGAAAGCAGGATCTGAGCTTTATGAAGTCACTATCTCTGAAGAAGCATTGGTGGGATCTCGGTGGCAAACTTCCAAGGATTAACTGCAGAACATTTTGGTTTTATTAGCTGCTTTGCTTTGTTTAGAGCTTGTTAAAAGCTATTAGTATTGTGCTAGAAATATGTTACAGTTTGCTCCAGTGTGTTATTGGACTCTAGTGGGAGATGTGACATTAGGGAGATCCAATAATAGGTTAAGAGCATGCAAAACCAGAACTGACTAGGGCCAGGCCACAGTAACCTGGAGACTCTGTTGTCTGAACAGAAAGATATGCTGTCCCCATATTTATTTAGCGTAGTGTACCATTATAAATGTGCTACTTCAGCCAAAAAAAAAGGCAGAATGAAATATTCTGCCTTATAATTTACTATTAAATATCAGTGTTCTAACTCCCCAGGCAGACAGTTAGGGTCTTGAACTCATTACAGCACAGCAAGAAATGCAGGCCTCGGGCAAAGTGTTTTTAATGTGGTAATGAATATGCAACACTCTGGCCCAGTACTCAAAGGAAAAGACAAGTTATGTGGAATGGACTGGCTCTCCCCTTCAGGGTGGATGGGTGTAAAGGAGACATTGTATTAGTTTAAAGGGGCCAAGAAAAGAAAACACACAGTCTTTGGTTTTGGTCAACAGAGGAATAAGATAGAAGTTGATAAGGAAAGGATCAAGCAGATGAGCAGCTCCCCTTAAAATTTTCTGTGGATCAGATTATACAGCAAGTATGGTCTTTACTCACCTTCTACTCTGTATTTTGTCCTTGAAAATTGTTAGTGGAGCTACTGCGTTTGAAAAAAGTTTTTTTGGTGGTTTTGTTTTTTTGTTCCCTGTTGTGTCACCAAATATAACTGTTCTCAGCACAGGTCAAAAAGGGTAAATTCAGTGTCAAGCAAAAAGAAGACAACATCTGTCTTATAAAAATAGTGAGTTTAGTAGATACTTAGATGGATACTTCAAATTAGCAAGGCATTGGGCCTCATTCTGTCTTGCATCTGTAGCATGTCCTGATATCTTTACTGATGTCCCTGAGATGGCTTTTGGTACCATTATGCAAGATGTGGTCCAGCCTTTGTTTCTTCATTATAATTTTAGGATTCCTTATACTGAAGCTAAGAGCAAGATAGAAAGGAGCCAAGATGGAGGGAGGGAGGAATGGGGATCCCAGGCTCTCAGATCTGGGAAATTTTGCTGAGTTTTGGGTAAATTGCATGGGAACTTGGATGAATAGGGCTATGGCTGTGACAGCAAGCCCTTGTTTGGGGAAATTGTTGAGAAGCTTCTGTCCAGGGAGGTGTTAGAGGAGGTCTGTGGGTCTTGTACTAAAAGTGGTAGTAACTGGAGATACTAGTTTGAAAAAATCTGAACTGTCATTACTAGGGACACCTGAAACACTTGTATGAACTCCATGCAGGTACCTGTCGATTTGTCAATGATCAAGGAATCAATGAAAAAGGAAAGGAAAAGGAAATCTCAGCTTCTTGCTATGTTTCACTTAATCTCAGCTTCTTGCCATGCTTCATTTAGCAGCTGTCTGTCCTGCTCACCAGAGGTGCCTGGCTGTGTGTGAGTGCATGTGCTAGGCATGTGGTGTTGGCAGTGTTACATCTCCTGGGCCTACTCTCCCCAGTTTTCCACTGTCGTGGCATGTGTAATGTTCCTCTGCGTTAGCAGGGTTTGAGAACTGGCTGTTTCTTATCCTCTCCACTAGTAGCCTAATTATTTCACCACTCTGTTCCTTGGACACTGATTTCACTTGGGAATGGCTAATGAAAATGCAGTCTCTACAGTCATGAGTTCATGTGCAATTTTACTAAATCATGCCAAATTTCTATGAGATGGAAACAGTCTTTTCTACTGCTGGTTCAAAGCCAACAGAGATGGCAGTTGCTGATTTGTCTGAGTAAATTAGTGATGCCATGCGATGCTGTTAGCATTTTTCCCCTCCTAAAACACTTTGATTTACTAAAACAGGAGTTTTAAAACTTGTCAGTGAGATGCAGCTGTGTTTGGGGCAGAGTGTGACAGCTGTTTAGCAGTTTGCAGTGACACTATCTGAGTCCAGGAGAGAGTGGGAATGCAGCTGGTATTAAGGGACCAGTGTACAGAGCCTGTTCTGTGCCTCTCACAGTATCTTCTGGTGTGCAGGAGGCAGCCCGTGAGAATTACAGCACGTGCTACAGGTTTGTCTTAGAACCACTGCTCTTGGCAAAGCTGATGGAAAAAGCCATCTCTCCAGGGAAAAGGGAGCCAAGAATAGGGGCACAGCCACAGCCACAAGCTGGGTAGGGAACAGGCAGTGTTTCCTGCAAGCTGCAAACCATTTGCATGAGTCACCTATGTGACTGCACAGCAAAGGCATAGGAGGGCTGGGGAAAGGGGGAAAAGCTGTCAACTTCAGACTGCCTGAAGAATCCATGAGGACTGACAGGGAGACACTGTGGCTTAATACTGTCCTTCCCACAGCTCTGTACAATATTCCCATTACCCCAAAGGATACTTTTGTGCCTTTCCTCCTGTCACTCAAACCATTCTCAGAAGGGAGCTCTCAACAAGAATGTGCTCTGGGCCAGTTGGCAGGTTGGAGTGTGACTGCTTTTTTTACCTATGCATTCATCACACAGCTCTTTTCTGTGCCTGTTGAGGCTTGGAAGCAGAGTTTGTCTCCTCTTGTAATAATTGAGGCATGGTGATTAATCAGCTGTTCCTCTTTGTGTGAAGACAGCTCTGATACAACCCCTGTATTCAAACACACAGATTTGGTTTCTCCCAATTCCTTTCCACATGCTTTATGTGTCTTCACTGCTTTGTGCTGGTGTATCTCTGCTCTGGATCAAACTTTTCACCTCCAAAGCTCAAGGGAGTTAGTATGGAGCCATTGGTAGAAAGCTGCATGTGGGCAAGCCTTGCTTTTCTCTGGTTCTGCATATAGGAGCTTCGTAATACTGACGTGATAACCCTGAAGGTGAACTGAACTGACAGGAATATCCTGCTGACAGAGCAGAACACCTCTGTTCCTTGGGAACGCCCGTGTGTCAGAGGCCAGGCAGGGCTGCTATGCATCATCTGTGCTTGCAGGCACAAGAACCATGCGGGGCTGCCCTGCCCTGCCCGGTGTAAGCTGGCACAGATGAGACCTGAAACATGTTAGCAAGCTAAGCACCATCTCCCTGGGGATTTGGGAAATCCTCTGTGCTGTTTCATTCCCAGCAGAGGGCTAGACCTCAACACTGAAGGTTGGGAGCTGTAGAATGAATTTCTGCCTTGATGCACCTGGGGAGGTGAAGTGACTGATGAGTCAGGCTGTGAACAGTGTGGTTACTGACTCCAGTTCTGCCTAGCTCTGACCCCTGGGCCTGTATTGCACTGTGTTGGATCCTGAATGTTAGATTGTCTGCAGAAAGGTGCCTAATTGGATTTCCAATGGCATTATGTGTTGTGGCTCTTTCTGAAAGTAGGACAATACAGACAGAAATTTAATCTTGGCTCCTTACACATGGATTGTCTTTGCTGAGTTGGGACTGTTAATGGCTGTGGGCCCACTGCT